GGGGAAGGCTTGCTGGCTCCGCCCCTCGCCCACTGATGGTTCGGGGAGGTCATCCAAAAGGATATCGAAAGGTTGTTCGGCTGTCTGGCCTAATTAGCATATTATGCTTTTATTATTATAGATTTCTCCCAACTCAAAACTACCATGGTAGGATTCCTAAAATTTAGGTTACAATAGACAACCATAAATCATAGTCACTGCTCTTGAATGCAAGTTAAAGAAACACATAAAGAAACTCCCAAAAGTCTTTTCAGTCCTCTTTACCATAAAAGCTAACGATGCCATATACTACACTACAATATTTCACTCAGCTACATAGGATCTATAGTACAAATCTAGGTTGCTTTTGATTTAAAAACCATCTGTAAAGAAAAATTCATTCTAAATGTAAATACCAGAACATTCAATAACAGCTTACAAAAGACAGCTTTACATAAAAAATAATAATAAAGGAAGGAAAGACATACTTGATTTATTTACTAATAATCACCATCTTTTTTCAACTGTTTTTTTCAATACTGAAACAGAATGCCATTAATTTAAAAAGGTAATACAATCTATTCAGAGATTATTCAATCCAATTTAGTAAATTATGACAGTTATTTCCAAGAATGTGTAATTATTCTATTTCAAAATTGCATCGAGCTATTCAATTCCTCAAAAACCATTCCTGTTTAAATCAAAATGATCAATTAAGAAATCTTTTATATTTCAGTTCTTTATAGTATATTACTGGTAAATTTAAGTGAATTAAACAAAAAAAAATGTAACATTCACAAGAAGTTAATTTCCAGTACAAACAACTGAAAGCACTAAACCAAAAGAGATGTTCTATTTAATTAGAACCATATGAAACTGCCACGGGGTCAAAAATAGTCAAATTACAAGCATTTCAAATGGTTCATTCAGCTTAACTCTGAAACATATTATTAAATAAGAGCTCATGGCAGAAAAATGGCAATGTCTACTGAACAATCTGTCGATAGGTCATATCACTGTTTCCTATTAGAAATATGATGGGGAACTTTCTTTGCAATTTTAGTGCAGATCTGGGGATCCCGATATATACTCAGTTCACTGGACAAAAAAAGAAAAGTAAATAAATATATGCCAGCGCCAAAGTTTTTGTCTAACTACATGTAAAGACATCAAATAAAAGAAATGTCAGCCAAATTCTGCATTTCTTAAAGAAGCTCAGCAGTTAAATCAGGAAATCAGAAGAGCCAAATTAACCTTCCTATCTTAATAAAAGATCAGAGTGAGTTTAAGAACACAAATCACCTCACAAAATTTGAGATGCGAATAACCAAAGCTCAGAACCATCTGGTAAATTACCAGAAACTTCAATCCTGATTTCAGAAGATGCCACAATATAAAATCTAACTTATAGTTAACAACCAAGTTTTTAACATTTCTAACAATTTCATTAAATCTTCTTCAAATCTAAGATGTCAATGATATACAATGGTTTTATGTATCACTATAGGTACAATTATAACTGTACGATGCCATCAATTATAAAATGCATCTCAGTTTCAGATGTTAAAATGTGAAAAGAGGTTTGAAATCAATGAAATCTGATATTAAAAGATAATCATTCCTCTGTTACAGATTTTGTCAGCTTCGCATGTTACTATTTGAAACACCAAGACCTACCAATTAAAAGAATTTTTCATGACATAAATGTACAAGAGCTGAGCACACGCACATAAAAATTTGTTAAACATAACTTAAATATTTAAAATGTCTCCTATTACATCAAATCAAGAAATATTTTGATCTCTCTCAAGTCCTTAAACACTAAAAAAATTTGGTAGCTCACATCTTACCATTTGAGCTCGGAGATACATTTGAGCTTGGCTTGCAGTTAGGGTAGGGGACGTACTCCCTAGTAACATAGTCTGTTGGGTAATACTGCCGCTGGTAGAACTGGAAGCCTGGGAACGGCTTATTAACTGTGCAGGTGTAGGAGAAGTGGAGAGGTTGATCTAAGGAAGAAAACATATTAGATCATAGGCTTCCATGACACAAGCTGAAGTCAGGCAATCAATACTATATACAGTGGCTAAGGAACCTAAAAAGGAGGACTTCAACTTTGACAGAACCCCTCACTTCTTTGGGCAATTATTTGCACATATGTGCAACAATAGCATTTACTGGTTAGTAATTAGAACAATTTTGAAAGATATCTTCAATGTGTTTCAATAAGTTTCCGGTATCTTAAAATATCATTTTCACTACTTCCCAAAAAGTAAGGCTAATGTTCCAATATTTTAATATTCCACATAACTTAAAACATTCAAACCAACAGTGTACACTATTCTGTCAGATTCTGTCACATTCTGAGGGATTTTTGAAGTGAACAAAAATTAAAACACAGATAATCCATCCATATACATAAAAACATACATGTAACATATAATTAGTGTTAATATTCTCTCTCAAAAACTCCAAGGAAAGAAAAAATTACAATTGCTACTTGTCAAGCAGATAAAAAAAATCCTGGCCCTAACCGGTTTGCCTCAGTGGATAGAGCGTTGGCCTGCGGACTCAAGGGTCCCAGGTTCGATTCCGGTCAAGGGCATGTACCTTGGTTGCGAGCACATCCCCAGTGGGGGGTGTGCAGGAGGCAGCTGATCGATGTTTCTCTCTCATCGATGTTTCTAACTCTCTATCCCTCTCCCTCCCTCTCTGTAAAAAACCAATAAAATATATTTTAAAAAAATCCTGAACACTGGTTACAAAATTAAATTAAACACACTCCTTTTAAGTGCCCCTCCAGTGTTGCTCAGTGGATGAGCATTGACCCATGCACAAAGAGATTGCTGGTTCAATTCTGGTCAGGACACATACCCAGGTTGCGGGCAGGAGGCAGCCAATCAATGTTTCTCATCAATTTATCTATCTTCCTCTCCCTTCCTCTCCCTCCATAAATAATTAAAAATATATTTTAAAACAACACAACAAAAACTAGTGCACAGTCTATTTCTAGGATATGTAAGAGACTAGTATCTCATTGTATCTGTGAAGGCAAACTGGGTAAAGTAGGGAACGGGGCAAAGGGAGACCTTATACCCTTTTTATCTTTCCAATTTCATACAACATTCATGTATCATCCATTTAAAAAATAAACATATACATATATTTTAATCCTCACCCAAGGATATTGGATCAATATTTATTATTTTTTAAAATATATTTTTATTGATTTTTTACAGAGAGGAAGGGAGAGAGATAGAGAGTTAGAAACATCGATGAGAGAGAAACATTGATCAGCTGCCTCCTGCACACTCCCCACTGGGGATGCGCCCGCAACGAAGGTACATGCCCTTGACCGGAATCGAAAGGTTCGATTCCGGTCAAGGGCATGTACCTGGGTTGCGGGCACATCCCCAGTAGGGGATGTGCAGGAGGCAGCTGATCAATGTTTCTCTCTCATCAATGTTTCTAACTATCTCTCTCCCTTCCTCTCTGTAAAAAGTCAATAAAATATATTTTTAAAAAAAACAAAACCTGCAACCTTTGGTATACAGGACAATGCTCCAACCAACTGAACCATCCAGCAAGGGCTGAATAATATTTTTAATGACAGTAATGTAATCTGACCTCAAATCCTTTTTGTAGACAATGAAGAGAATAAAATTAAGAAATAAGAAATTAAGAGCCAAAACCGGTTTGGCTCAGTGGATAGAGCGTCGGCTTGCGGACTGAAAGGTCCCGGGTTCAATTCCGGTCAAGGGCATGTACCTGGGTTGCGGGCACATCCCCAGTAGGAGATGTGCAGGAGGCAGCTGATCGATGTTTCTCTCTCATCGATGTTTCTAACTCTATCTCTCTCCCTTCCTCTCTATAAAAAATCAATAAAATATATTTTTAAAAAAAGAAAAGAAATTAAGAAAGCATTTATTAGACTTTTGATTCAAGCAGTAAGGCAGACTGGACTCTTATATACATGTGCCCAAATACACTCACTAAAATGCTAAATCAACATGAAAAACTAGTATAGCTGAATTTAAAAAGGGGGAGCCCTGGCCAGTGGCTTGACTGGAGTGTTGTCCTATACACCAAAAGGTTGCACGTTCATCCCTGGTTGAGGCACATACAGGAAGCAACCAATCTACGTTTCCGTTTCTCTGTCTCTCTCTTTCTCCCTCCCTCCCTCCTTTCCTCTGTAAAATCAATAAACATGTTCTCAAGTGAGGATTAAAAAAGAGAGGGAGGGGAGGATTTCTAGGTGCCAGAAAAGAAGAAACTCAAAGACCTAAAGTCCCAGTTGACACCAACGTAGTCTCAGGGGATACGGGCCTACAGAGATACTAGTAGAAGACCTAGTTTTGAGCTTATTTTCAGGGAAAAGCTGGAAGTAAAACCCCTATTTTGAACCAAGATCCTCAAAAGGTCTGTTTAATATGTGAAAAGGAAGCTGGAGAAGCTCCACCCATATGCCCTGAATAACTGCAAGGCAGCTTGCCACCTGCCCTGCTCCCAGTGTGAGCAGAGAGGCTCCTATGAAAATCGAAACTCCAGATTTGCACCATGCAGAGGAACAGAATACAAATCAACACTACCTGTATAGTTCCACAATCCATCCCAAACATTAGCATTTTTCAGGACATTTGTTAAAATGAGCAGGTGGTCCTAGCCGATCTTACTCAGTGGTTAGAGTGTCGGCCCTCCAAATGAAGGGTCTCGGGTTCAATTCTGGTCAAGGGCATGTACCCAGCCGGGGCATGGAGGCAACTAATCGATGTGTCTCTCTCACATCAATGTTTCTCTCTCTGTCTCCCCCTCACCCTTTGTTCTCTCTAAGAATCAATGTAAAAAATATCCTTGGGTGAGGATTAACAAAACAAATTAAAAAAAGAACAAGTGAATGGAGGAAGCTGAGTAAAGGTTATAGAGGAGGATGCCTCTGTACTATTTTTGTAACTTCCTATGAGTTTACAATTATTTTAAAACTAGAGGCCTGGTGCACAAAAATTTGTGCGGGGGGGTGGGGGGCGGATCTCTCAGCCCGGCCTGTGCCCTCTCACAGTCTGGGACCCCTCGGAGGATGACCACCTGATGGCTCAGGCCTGCTCCCTGGGGGATTGGGCCTAAGCTGAC